GTCAGTCAAAGCTCTGTAAGCTTGTCTACATCAAGTCTGTCTTTGCAAAGCTACCTGACAAGGGGCAGTCAAACCGTGAGACGGTAAGAGCCGCCAATTATCGTTACAGTCAACGAGAGTGGGACTGGTCATTGCAATCTAAGCTAGGTGGATACTGCGTAAGGAACTGAGTCTTCAGAGAAGGAAGTATCAGTGTAAGTTGACTCATCAGGTATTCGTCAGGCCGTCTAGTCTTCTTGGGAGTTTTCTATTACAAAAGGCAAGAGAAATCGTGACATAGGAGGAGGCGTGTGCAATTTTGGTGCGCCAAGCAATTAAAATGTGTTATCTGGCTACTTCAAAACTATTAGTAGATACTTTTACACGCAAAAGAGTCGGCGCGTGTACGGTAGTATCGAACGCTGTGCATGGTTGCTGTTAAAACCTTCAATATTTGAAGAAGTGCAATCACACCACCAGAGCTGGGAGTAGGCTTTTTCACGCACATTTTCGGCAGATCCTCATTTTTGCTGCATTCTTGGGAGATAGGGGAACTCCAGCATTATGCTTCCTCATATTTTTGTGCTTCCCCCAATAACCCTTCGAATGGGACGCTATTCTCATCAGTAATATCTTTATGGTTTCGCGGTATTGCTGCTTATCCTACCGAAGGAGATTCCGACCCGATAGGCTAGAAAACTGGCAACCGACAAGTTCATAACCTGGCAAGCAACTTACAGAAACGAAGATCACGAGTTGAGCAGGATGTATTGACGTCATACAATTTCGTGACCTCTAATTCGTCTGCAAACGGCCATTGCCTGTTAATATGGTCAATTAACTGTCCAATTAGAAGGGTGAATCTTAATAGGTAAATAGGATATCCATCTAGTCAATGCATAACCCTATCGGTTGTACTATCTACACAGCAAAGCAAGTAAGGACACATCTATCACGTCTACTGTTAACTCCGCTAATGTCCAAACTGACACACGAATCTTTGTGCCGGACTGTTGTCGTACGGTTCCATATTAGGGTCCTAATTTTGCTTGGCTTTGACAGCCAGGGAGAGGGCAACGTAAGTGCGTCACACGTCTGCTTCACT